CACACGTGTCCTTTATTTTGTACATCAGGAAGGGGGGCTAGGGAGGGGTAAGTGGAAGGAGGTGAGGGAGGAATGGGGTACGAGCCCCCGATGGGGAGGACTGGGGTGGCTCTGCGGGCTCCTCGGGGTGGAAGCTCTCTTGCAGTCCCCCGATTGACCACCCCGCCCGGATGGCAGCCTGTGGCAAGTGCAGCCGGGCTGATGGCCGAGTGGTGTGATGTGCCGAGTGTGGGCATTCAGGGCACTCCAAGCCAGGACTGCTTTGCTGTCCCTCATTGAGTTAGACAAGCGAGCGGGGAACCCCTGAGACCTGTCTGTCTGGGATGGGGGTCGGGTCCCTTTAAGCACAGCCCTCGGCTAGCCTGAGACAGCAGCTCCACGCTCTAAGTCCTAATCTGATGCCCTGCTGGCACTGCTTCCGGCTATCCTTAACCTTGGTTCAGGGTCCACTCAATGTGGACATGCTAGTTCGAATTAGCAAAATGCTAATTTGAACTAGTTTTTAGTTCTAGATGCACTAGTTCGAATTAGCTTAGTTCAAATTAACTAATTTGAATTAAGTTAGTTCGAATTAGGGTATGTCTACACTACAGCACTAAGTGAGCAGTCAACCTGTGGGGGAGTGGGGGAAAGTATGGGATCATGGAATTAAAGACTTGAATCATACGCACAAGGGGGCAGAATGAAAGGTGCCCAGGCAACTGTAAACTTGGCATTTCCTAGATTTCAGTCCTTGACTCTGCCACTGTAAATGCTCATTAACATATTTTTAATATAATTGTGTAGGGCTTTGCTATTTTAAAGAAAATGTTCAAAGAACTGTTTGTTCTGCCTACTCCACAGAACTCAGTACGTGAACTTCGACAAGCTTCTGTACTGTTGCAAGTTGCTTATTTGCTTCCTTGTTTTTGTATTATGGTATCAGCCAGAGGCCGTATTGTGCTAGAGGCCAAGAAGCACATGCAACGGTCTTGATTATGAAATGTGCATGAAAAAGCAGATCAGGTGAGTGTTCCAACCTGTGAAGATTTATCAGCCTGATCCAAAATAGGTTTTTTGGAACTCAAACACTGAGTAGGAAAAGAAGCCACATAATGACATAACTAGGAAAACAGCTGTCTGAAAACTGTCAGCCACTTCAGTGGTCAAATAAGACTAACTCGAGTTCTCACCCCTCCCCCAGCATTGAGCTATTATTTATAGGCTTATGAACCCTGGAAGGAGAGTGATGTTTCATCTTTGATTTTAAAAAAATGTCAGAAGAGCTAGCGTGCTGCTCTTGGAATGCATGTGAAACCGTGACTGACACCATGAGGGTTTTATATTCCTCTCAGAATGGGTTTACGTGAAATTGGCAGCCTCCTAATACCTCATCAGCCAAACTGGCCACATCAGATTATCTGTGCACCCTTGAGGCTGGAATAACAACACATTGTAATGTGATGCTGTAACCTGAAGTTCCTAATCATGAAAATCAATCTATTTGCATTCAGAGAAGCAGTTTTCAGTGTTTCCTTCACTTTGTAAATCACAGCCTTTAAATATAGCTTGTAAGTTGCTCTTCTGTATTGTTTTCTAAAAATCATTTTGGGTCACTGAGGGTACATCTACATTGCAGCGTTATTTCAGAGTAACTGACGTTATTCCGAAATAGCACATGTCTACACTACAAGCCACTATTTCAAAATAATATCGAGCTGAAGGACTTTTTACTCCAACTCATGGTAACCCTCAGTTTACGAAGAGAAAGGGAAGTCGAAGGAAGTGTTCTTCCTTTGACTTCCTTCTGTGTAGACAGTGCCAAAAGCTGAATTAAGCTGTTTTGACTTCAGCTACACAATTGATGTAACTGAAGTTGTGCAGCTTAGTTTGACTTTAGCCATGCTGTGTTGATGTACCCTGACAGATAACCTCTTAGCTGTGCTTCCTTCCATAGCTTGCTTTCTTGTTATAGTGAGCAACTAACAAAATCACACCTCTATCAATGATTCATCTTGAATACACTTTTTCCAGCAGCGCAGCAAAAAAAACTTGCAAAAAATGGAAAGATTTGATCTTTAGCTTTGAAGTAGATTTGTGTGTGTTTCATACTGACATTTGCCAAGAACACACTTGCTGCTCACAGGCCTGGGTAGCTGCAGATGCAGGGGCTAATCTCTACAAATTTAACAATTCTGCACTGACCCAAATCTGTCTGTATGGACAGAAATGTAAACAAATGAAAGGCAACAAGGGGAGCCATGCATAATGAGAGGCCGCGGAGGATCAGTAGTTTAGGGAGACTCAAAATCAGAAAGGGCACAGCGTAGTAGAGGGGTGGGAAGAGGAGAAAGCTGATTTTTGCCAAAGCCTGAGACAAATGCATCTCAAAATTCTGCAAGGCTTCAGTCTTCAGTGGCCACCTGGAATGAAACCTGGAGAGAATCATTAGACACTGGACGATCTCTGCCATAAAACAACTCTGTGGCATATACAGAAAAACCTAAAAAGGAACTTTCAGGGTGCTGGAACAGATGAGCAAGTTGGGTGGGCACTTGAACTACAGAGCTCTGCATAGAAATTAATGAGAGTAAAAGGGCCAGCAGATTACATAGATTAGGCAGAGACTAAATGATTTAGCCAACTTGTAAAGACAGTGTTGACAGTCTCAGAAGAAACCACAGAAATTCTGGAGCTTCTGCTAATGGTGAAGACTTGGGATTCTTGTGACTCAAATGGCTAGAGAAGACCAGGATCGTTTGATCTGACAATCATGACAGTCCCCGCACCGACAGTTTAGGGTCCCTACACATCATCACATCAAAGTAATATGACAAAGAGAGAATCCTTAGAACAGCAAGAACCAAGAAAGATATTTCACAGATTTTTGACAGGGTTTCTGTTGGTGTGTGGGCTGAGGGTACATGCCTGGTAAGGAGCCTCACTCCCATTCCCTATGGGTAGGAATGACAATTCCAGCCCTTGTGTTCATTTAACACTGAAATCCAAGTTACAGAGGGTGTGCTGGGGGGTAGGGAGCTAGTGAAAGTGCAGTCTAGCTGGCTGGCATAGACGACTGAACTTCAACCTCTCTGTAGGGCATATTGTTCTGCTCCCACCATCCTCCTTGCTGGCCTGTATTCCAGTCTTGGGCAGCACAATGGGGTATGTTCTCATTTTATTTCCTATTTCAGCCAGCTGGCGTGTTGACTATCAGGCCACTAGAAACAATGGCTGCCCAGGACGTGTTGCTCACTGACATACAGGTGCACCCATAGGGGCCCTACACAGCACTGTTCAACTGGTGCCCCCCATACCTGATGGCAGCCAGGGAGGGGATGATTTTTTTGAGATGTCATTTTATAACCTTCAGCAATGCTCCCATGAACTATTTTTAAAGCCAATTTTAAACTAAGCTCCTGTAAACTAACACAGGCCATTCAAAAACTGACAGTCTGTTCCTGGGGTTGGCAAATGCCTGTTAAATTACTTCATTACCAGCGGCTCTTTCACAGGTTCCATGTTCTGCTAATAGCTCTGGCTGGCTTTTCCACTTCTTAGTTAACTAGCTCCTCTCCAGGGTGAGCAATCACAGAACAGGGACAGGAAGAGCCTGGAGGATGGACGTTAAGACCCAGTAGGGCCACACTTTTTGGGTGCCCTATGCAGCTGTGTATTCTGCACATAGGTAAGGCTGGCCCTGCTGCAGTAAGCTGGATAGTAGCTTGAATCAGCCAGGAGTACATATAAACCAGGAGATACAAGTTACCACTCACACAGCCAGTTTGCAGGCTCAACATGCCCACTTCTCCAGATACAATGTCCCTTTAGTGCCCCGCACATCACCAGAGGTGAATAAAACTGGTATTTCAGCTACACAAAATGCATGGCCAACCGCATGGAATTGATGGCCCCACAATACGTTCTTACTATGTTTATACTTTTCATCACAACATCAGGGCTCATGCACTTTCCTTCCTGGTCTTCCTTTTATTGTATGATGGGGTATGTCTACACTACCCCGCTAGTTCGAACTAGCGGGGTAATGTAGGCATACCGCACTTGCAAATGAAGCCTGGGATTTGAATTTCCCGGGCTTCATTTGCATAAGCGTGGTAGCCAATAAGTATTTGGAGGGCTATAATACAATGATCTAAGGACTGGTCTGCACTACTAATTTAGGCAGAACTTAGCTGCATTAAGTAGATTTTCTTCAGTGAGTCCACTCTACCAAGACCATTCTACCGACTTTAACGGCTTTTAAAGTCGATATCGGCACTTTTGCTTTTTGTGAGGAATAATAATGAATTCAGCCTTGCATGGTTGCCTTTGGAGTAGTGCAGATGCAACACTGCAGGTCCCTGGTGGTTGGGAGGGCACTTCTGGTGAGTTCACATTTTTAATCCATTTAAGGCAATTGGGTGTAATCTGTAGCAGCCACTCTGCCTACACAGCAGAGGCTCCCCAAAACAGTTTGTTAAAATCTCTGGAGGTGGAGTGGGAATCCTCTCTGCCATCTCCATAAAGCTCTCAGGGTATGTCTACACTACCCTCCTAGTTCGAACTAGGAGGGTAGTGTAGACATACCCTTAGTTATTTGTGCCCCTTTTTGTTTGAAACTGGAGCCCCAGCGTTCCAGTGTGTTCTGTTTTTTAGCAAATACTGACCTAATACACGAACTACAAAGTACTGTACTGTAGCATACTACACTGCTACATTTGCACATATAAACGGAAACTCCATAAAGTGCTAGGGGCAAAAAAAGAAAATAACTCTAACAATTGCATTAAAAAGTAACAATTGTCTTTTACTGCCAGGCCATACAAAGTATTCAAAATTTATTTACATCATCTTTGTAACAGTTTTAAAAGAAAGTTATAAAAGTACAAGAAAATCTCCAAGGCAAGTAGACACACTGAAATACACCTGCTTCTCAAGTCTGGCAATGCATATGCAATTTTAAACCAGACATGTTGCCCTGTGTATTATTGCTTTCTGTACACATTTGTCTGCTCACCTTATACTCATGCTGAAGTATAAGACCTTATTTTCACAGTATAGTCTCATCACAGCTCTCCTTCTATTCAATGGCAAGTGGATGAAGTACTCGGCAGTGATTTGTGGCTTAGGGTGCCAGTAAGACGATGCAGTGATCATATGCAAATAGCTACAAAATTACCATGGTGGACTCGCTTGTGAGTTCTCTGCAAGCTGATGCATGGAAGGAAGGAATCCTCTTACTCCTGTGCAGAGACTATCCACATTGCTAGGCCCTACATGGGGAAGGAGGGGTGAGTAGCAGCCAGGCAGAGAGCGGTCAGGCTATTAAGGCAGAGTCAGGGGGTGAGCAGAGCTTTGGCTCCACCCCTCCCAAGGTATCAGCCAGTGCACTGGAACGAGTTCAGAGAGAGACAACAGGCTGCAGCAACAAAAGGAGTGGCGCAGCTCACGTCTCCTCTGAAGCAAGGAGGAAGCAGGGACTAGACCATGGCTCTGGTTCTCACCTTGCTCCTGTGACAGAGGAGTTCTGTGCTTTCTGCCATGGATATAATCTCCGAGAGGGAAGAAGGAAAAGCCTCATTAGGTCTTCTTATACACTCCCTTGCTATAACACAAGATTATTCCCTGGGGCATATTCAAGTACACAGCCCTGTATAGGTTTAATTTAGGATGAAATTGCTGCGGATTAGGAATCTTCTGTCAGAATGATTTTTCTGACAGGAAAGACAATTTCTGCAAAAATCATTTTCTGTAGAAATCAATTTTCCTCAATTTCTGGTTTTTTCATTCCCTTAGGAAACCCAAAACAACACATTTAGCTCATAGTTGGTTCAGACAAAATTGGCCTATTTTGTTTATTAAACTAATCTGAAATGTTTCATTTTGAGTCAATTCAACACTAAACTGAATTTCCCTGTTTTGCTGCATTGGTTCATGGGAATCAGCATTTGCCCCATTTTCCCATTGAATGGACTGCTTGGCCTGACTATATTTCCCACAATGCAACACTGTCTCCTCTCTGACCAACCTAAGTAGTCCGTCATGTGACTCCCATTACTGCAGTGGTATCATGGGAGATGTAGTACAGCCAGGGAGCCTATCCATGTCAAGACCAAGGGCATCAGACTAACTCCCCGCGAGGCAATGTGACTTTGTAAGGAAATGCAGTTTAATGTTGAACGGATTTAAAACGATGCATTTCCATTCAGATCAACAACATTAAATTAAACATTTTGATTCAGAAATGTCAAAACATTGCATTTCCATTGAAATTGTTGACTGGGACTGTTTCACCATTTCTGAATGACCAATTTTTTTCATGGAACAGAAATTTAAAAAATTTTATTTCAACTTTGTGTCCTTCTTCTTCTTCGTGAGATTGATGTAGATGTAGATGTAGAGCTTTACATGCAGGTGGTTGCCAAGAAATTTTGTGAGGTGTGGTGAGGTGTATCGCTATATTTGTGAGTAAGGCATTTAGTCGTTATAGCGTCCATGGTCTGTGCTGGGTGACCACAGTCCCTCACTGGAGAGTTTTTAATTTCCCATTGGTGCATCTGCTATGGTTTGTGTAGATGTGGTTTAGGGCTGACCATAAGATTTGAGGATGGTGGAAGCCAGGGATCTTTTTGTTCTGGTTCAAGATGAAAACCAAGGTAGGATTATCAGAATTTTCCATGGACAGAAAATCTGCCTTTTGCTCAGCTATAGAGGGAATGTAGAGAACCAGCAAAGGAATTTCTTATTTTAAGCTTGGAAGTTGCTGTTGTGTTGGGATGATGCTTCTGCCATTTTGGAAATATGCCATGTGAAAATAATTGAACAAGGTTTATTCTAGCCCTTGTTTTACTCCTCCCTGGAGTGTGCCTAGAGAAAAGTCTATATCAGTAAGACCCACTTAGAGTCTGATCCTTCAAGGTACCCAACATCTCCTGCAAAATGCTCAGAGCTTTTAGTTCCTGTTGATTGCAGCGGGAGCTGAGGCCGGCCAGCCCCTCCAAGGATAGGGTGCTTAGGAGCACATTTTCAAATGATCTTATCACTCAACATTGTGACCAGAATTTTCAAAAGGTGCTTGTTAGGCACCTGACCACATGGACGGATTTCCAGAAGAGCTCAGGATGTTGGGTGCACACCAGATCCTCAGATCAGCTAAAAGTCTGGCCCCAATTGTGTGGGGGCTAGGCACTCAGAAATCTGGCCCACTTTTGAAAAACCTGCCTTCAGTGAGCTCTAATGAGGATTTTCTCACCTGCTTCTCCTATGACTTTAGCCAGGCTCTAGTGTTTCCCTGCTGTAGGCCAGCATATTTCCAGAAGGTTCCCTTCGTGATGTCTGCAGATCTTTCTTCCGCCCCTGTTGCTCCAGACCTGCCTTACAGGTAAATTGCTTTCTTACTGTATGGAATTATTTCATACAGCCTTCTCTGCCCACTCAAACCCCCCACACATACTACACAGTTACCAGTTTAAGAACTTAAGAATTGCATATTTAATGTATAGTGAGTTTCAAGGACCCTAGATTTGTCATTACAACCCAACTGTGGAATGATCTAATGCCCCCCACAGCTTGCAGCTGACTAGTCCGTACAGCTGGAATCCTCTCTTGCTAAGCATGTGTTTGGAACTTGAAACTGGATACTCCTCCTTGAAGTAAGAGGGGACTTTTGCATCAACATTTTGTTTGGTACCATATTTAATGGTAATCAGTTAGGGCTGTATTTCAGAGACTTATCATTCTTCAAGTTAAACCTATTTCTAACTAGAAATTGTTAATGTTCAATATAAAGCAAAAGTTATTAGGAAAGATGACTAGTTGCAATGATTAACAATATACCCAGTAGTGGATCCAGTGTTATCTTTCCCCTTTACCCACCATGAAGCTGGAACATGAGTTGCAGACAGTTTTCAACCATCATAGCAGGCAACCTACTTTTACACAGCATCAGATAAAGTTTGACCGGTGCTTGCTATGATGTAGACATGTCATCAAATATAACAGACATGACAAACTATTGGCAGGCCATCCTTTCCCGTCCAAGTGCACATGGCAGAGTAAAAACACAACAGGGATATTTGTAACTTGATAATCAGATAGTCATGGTTCCCAAGAGCGGTATTCCGTGTGCATTCGAGTTGGTGCATACGGTTGGTAATGCTTGTTCTTTGGGCCAGGAGGATGGCGTGGTGTCATGTTCATGTAGTCACTCGTCAGTATTCTGTTCCTCTTGTTTTTCCACTATGGGGGAGAATTATGAAAACATTTCTGTAAATAGTTTTTCCTACATCGGCTGAATACTTTTTAAAAAGTCTTTATTTAAAGGGGTCCAGAGGGTTTGTTAAAGCTTGGCTCATCATGAATAAAAGACTTGATTATTTTTCCTGCTTTCCAGTTAATGAATTGTCCAAGGATATCATAATATAATCAGACATATTCACCACTCAGAATTATTCCCCAAGGCTTTTTCAGGAAACCACTGCAGCAAGTGCCTACAGTTAAATAAATTCTTCTAAAAAACCAGCATGAGTAGGCACATAGTGTTCCGTGATATTTGCCCTCCTCTCCTGTCAGTGGCCCAGCAGCCCACCTGCCAAGAACACTACAGGATAAGAGAATTCTCCTGGTGGTGAATGTTGTACACTAAGACTGTATTCTAACTTCTAACCACCTTTTTAGCTGCAGAAATGACTCAGCAGATGTAAAGCAATTGCACTCAGCAAGGGGTTTTCCTAGCTTCTAGATAGACATTTTTTAAAAATAGCTAATATAGGCATAATAAGAGTGACAGAAAACTCCTGCCTACATGTAACTGCACTGCCCTGTCCTCCAGCTCCCAAGCAGCCTGCAGGGTGAGCGGTGAAGGAAGCAGAGATGAGGTTATTCTCATCTCTCTGGGCCTGAGTACCTCACACTTGTCAAGGGACAGCTGAAGCAAAATGCAGGACAATGTAGCACTTTAAAGACTAACAAGATGGTTTATTAGATGATGAGCTTTTGTGGGCCAGACCCACTTCCTCAGATCAAATAATGGAAGAAAACAGTCACAACCATATATACCAAAGGATACAATTTAAAAAAAAATGAACACACATGAAAAGGACAATGTGTGTTCATTTTTTTTTAAAATTGTATCCTTTGGTATATATGGTTGTGACTGTTTTCTTCCATTATTTGATCTGAGGAAGTGGGTCTGGCCCACAAAAGCTCATCATCTAATAAACCATCTTGTTAGTCTTTAAAGTGCTACATTGTCCTGCATTTTGCTTCAACTACCCCAGACTAACACGGCTACATCTCTACCACTTGTCAAGGGACGTTTGCCTTACAAAAACCCTGTCCAGTAGGAAAGCACTATCCCCATTTTGCAGATGACGTGACCTGCCTGACGTCAGTTAGGAACTCTGTGGCTGAGCAAGCAACTGCATCTGTGACTTCTGCCAGTCTAGCTCTGGGTCCTAGTCTCTAGCCCATCCTTTCTACCCAGGGATACCCCTGTGCATTAACGTCTCCCTCCTTTCACAACTCTGTGGTTGTAACTTGATATAAACCACCTTTTTTATTACATTTCTTGCATCTGAAATATTTTCAAAATCCTGAGCAAAATCTATATTTTCTACTTTTGTAAGGACTAAATATATAATTTTTTTCCAATTTTTTTTTTTGCATGTGCATGTGCATGCAGGTGCCACAAACACAGATCTGTCTGCCCAGGTTTCCAAATGACTAGTCCTTGCTGAAGACCAATCTGCAGAGCAATTTGCCTGAAAAACATGTGAAGTGTGTATATATGTCTCTTTACATAAAGATGGAATTACAAGCGACTCAGCTGAGCAATAAATGTCAGGTCTATGGAATAACAGGGATACATAAAGGTTAGTTCCATATTTTATGCTGCTCTTTCACTGTGGAGTTCCACCGCTGTGTACTTATGACTCTGCAGTCATTGAAGCGCATAGAGAAGCCAGCAGGAAGATTTGGGTTTCATAGATCTAATCTCCTGGTTTTTATTTAGTATCTAAAAAAACCCACTCTCATATAAATATGGGAAGGAGATTATTTTCATCTCTTTGAAGTGAAGAAATCTTAAATTTTGCATAGTGATAGGGACAGGTGGAATATTATGTTACCATTAAATAATATTTTAGAATACAGCAAGTGCATGCGTCACTCCAGCTGATCTGGATCTGAGTTGTCCAGCTATCCTGCAGGTACAAAATTGGGTTAGATATGTTCAACATGGGGCGAGAGAGTTAAGATTACTATAACAACTTTAATGTTTCATTACTTTAAATGGTGACCAAGTTTCATGCATTCAAGTTTGCGAAAGTAAATCATATTACTTATAAACTATGCAGTGTATGTCTAAATCAGGAGTTTTCCAAGTGTGGGCCAAAGACCACTAGTGGTCCGCAACCATCTTGCACGCGGGGCACAGGCTTGGGACCCCCTCCCCTCCCACACTGTGGGGAGCCTGCACTGACGTTCCAGTTCTGCACCTGCTCCCTTCTCCCCCTTCACCCTCCCCTGGCAAGGCTAGAGTCCCAGCGCTGTCTCCCTGCTGCAGGGGTGGGGGAGCCCTGAGACTTGCGTGCCAGATCTGGTTTGCTGGGAGAGGAAGTGACTCTATGCGCTGCAGCTCCCCTTCCCTCCAGCTGGGGGAACAGCAGTGCAGGAAACTGCTCACCTAGGCCGTGTCCAGACTCAGGGGTTTTTTCGGGAAAAGTAGCCTTTTCCCGAAAAAACTTCCCCTGCGTCCAGACTCAAGCCGCGTTCTTTCGTAATTATTTCGAAAGAACGTGGCTTTTCTTTCGATGGCGGTAAACTTCAATTTACGAGGAAGAACGCCTTCTTTCGAAAGTCCCTCTTTCGAAAGAAGGCGTTCTTCAATGTAAAGAGGCCGTCTTCGAAAGAGAGCATCCAGACTCGCTGGGTGCTCTCTTTCGAAAAAGCGGATTTCTCTTTCGAAAGATCCGCCTGCAGTCTAGATGCGATCTTTTGAAAGAGGCTCTTTCGAAAGATGCTTTCGAAAGAGCCTCTTTCGAAAGAAGCCTGCAGTCTAGACATAGCCCTAGAGGCTTTTCCCGCTGTTTCCATTGGCCAATCCCTATGATGGAAAGATTTGAGCGGAGTGGGCCATGGGGCAAAAAGTTTGAGAACCACTGGTCTAAATCATTAGATACATGCACGTGTCTATGCACATTTAGGTCTATAACATGATATATATATTACTGTTTTGTGTGTGTGTCTGTCTGCAAGTCCATTTGTTCAAGAATTCCTCCTAAACACTAAAAGCCACGGTTACCAAATTTGGCAGGCAGCTTCCTCTTACACCCTAATTTAAAGCAAGGTCACGGTTTGGTTGTGCCAGGAAAACAGGACGTTCTGGAAATGGGACTGTTTTTCATAGAGTGGAGGGATGCAATACTAAGAGTGGCCACTGGGAGCAGATGCACCACCAAGAGAGTGGCCAGCAGTGCTGGGGTTCCACCATCTTGCCTACCACTAGACTGGGTGAGTAGCTCCCCTACCTCTGGCCCTCCTTCCTGGGACCCCCTGGGCCTGCATAGGAGCCCCCGCCCAAGAGAGGCTAGAGCCAGGAACCATGGTCCAGCTCTAGACAGGCTGCAGGCTAGGCCGCTGCAGAACAGGGGCAGCCCCTGGAGTCTTGTCCCCCTCATGGACATCCTGCAGGTTACAGGGGGGCTGCTCAAGTCTGGGACCAGCCTCTGGAGCCTTTCCCAGCCACCTGGACAGCCCCAGAGCCTGCCCCCCTGTGGAGAGCCTGCAGGCCATGGGAGGACAGGGTGCTGCAGGTTAGGTGTCAGCCTCCAGAACCTCGCCAGCTCCCAAAGCCTGGTCCCCTTCCCCAAAGACAGACTGCAGGATGCAGGGGGCTGCTTGTTATAGGCTGTGGGCAGACCCCGGACCCCTATCCCCTACCCCGCAGACAGCTTGCAGGTGACAGGGGGCCACTAGCATCTGGGGCCAGCCCCTGGATCCCTCCCTCCAAGATTGGAGGGGCAGCTTGAGTCTGGGGCAGGTCCCCTCAGCCCTGCCCTTGTGGTAGCCCTGTCTCCCTCCCCAGGGGGACCTGCTAGCCCGGGCACACAGCTCCAGCTCCTTGGAAGGAGCCTCCACCGAAGCAGCATCACCCTCATAATCATGGGCAGTCCTGGTAAGCTTTCTTCCCTCCTGGCTTCCCAGCCCCCTGCTCTGAGTCCTGGACCCCCATGTCCTGCCCTAAGCCTTCCCACATCCCTCCCTCACTCCAGCACCCTCCACCCCCTGCCCTGAGCCCCCCAACCCTCCCATCTCCCTGCCCTCACTCCTGAAAATCTTCACTGAACCTCCCAACCTCTGTCCTAACTCTGGCACCCCCACCCCCATCCTGGTCCTCCCGCCACACTGAGCCCTGTGCCTTCAACCCCCCCACCCCTGCTCTCACTTCAGCTCCCTCTACAAGTTATTTGGAGGGCAGGTAAAAACTGATGAAGCAAGCACAGCACAGAATCAGTACGCTATACTGCTGTTCTCCACAGGAGAATGTCCTCTTAGTAAGAGCCTATATCTGAAACATAGGAGAGAGAAAACCTAACTAGTAGAGAGAAAATTGCTTAGCCTCTACATTATGGCTCTGAAATGACAGTATTTCATTAAGGCCTAGCTGCTGCATAGCAATCTCACTACTGGTTCTAGCCATGTAAGCTTTCCTATGACCCAGTCAGAGCAAATCTCTGTGGTGGTAAGGGAGAAGGGAGCATTTGCTGGCTTTACATTTGCTAATGGCAATGCCCGATCCAGACTGCACATCACCAGGCATGCTCATGGCAAAGAACTGTGTGCATCGGTCTGACAATTACGGTGCAACCAAGAGATCTTGACTGCCCATGGGTTTCGGTACTAAAATGCAGGGTTTAATCTAAAGGTGGGGTCAGGGAATTTCAACCAGATTGCCTGGTGATGTGTTGAAAATATATATTGAGAGAGAAAGAGAGCTCTGCCAGGCTCTGCAGATCTGCGTATCCAAGTATCCAATAAAGCAGATGAGGATGAAGCCAGAGGGTGCCAGGGTTGCCCCTCTGGCTCTGCTCCATAGATACTTTTAAAGGAAAGATTCGGAACCTGCATCCTCTTTCCTAGGCTGCCTACTTCAGGGTGGAGATTCCGCCTGCTTTCCAGCAACTTACAGCAAGGGCAGTGGCCAGAGGAAGCCCTGTGGAGTCAGGCTCCTTGGGAGGGTGGAAAGAGGGAGAATCGTTGCTGAGGCCGATTGAAGAA